CAGTCAACACATGAAAGTTCTGCACATACTGCAGTGGGGCAGCTGTGTCGAGATCTGCTGGCCCATCATCTGCTGTGATGGCGCGCTGCCATACTGTACTTGGGCAATTGGCTGGAAGTTGCTGACCTGTCATCTGTTGTCCTGGATGTTGCAACTGTTGTTGAGGCATTTAGCCATACTGCAGTTGGGCAAGTGGCCCTGCTGAATGCTGCTGTCCCATCGGCTGCTGAGGCGGGCCTGTGTCGGCCACTCCTCCAAAAGTTGCCGGAGGCATGTGGGTGGGTATCATACCCTGGTGAAATTGCATCTTGCAAAAAAGACACGGAGTCCGTTGCTGTGTGCTTGTGCAATACAGCTAGAGCGTCCGATCATTGCGCGACAGCATGCATGAGCACTTTGCCACAAACACTTTGCCCTAATGCATTTGACCTCATGCCAGAAGCACATGCACTCCTGCACAAAGGTGGAATAGAGAAGAGCCATGGAAGTACGAATAGGCGAGACAGACTCGCCAGCGGAGGTAGCAGCTCGCACACAGACCACGCTAGACTCCAGAACTACCAGATGCACATGCCGTCCTGCTCCAAGCACTCATGTCTCATCCTGTGGCGGATGAGAGGGGTGCGGTGATCTCAGATGAAGGGGGCTTCGGACTTCGAATCGGGTGGCCCCATGAATAACTACATGTTGAACCAGACAAATGGGACAGAGAGACTGCTTCCGATGGAGACCACCGCGGCGCCGTGACGGAAAGCCGTTGTAGAACGCTGAAGACGTGTTGTCTGCACTCCCGGATGGATTCCCTCAAGGGAATGTTACACTAGATGAAGATCGTGTCTGCTGTGGATGGTTGTTCTGTAAATACCTCAAGTTGTTGCTCATATAAGTAAAACGGCAGGCAGCGGGTTGCTGTTGTGAGCAAGTTTGCTCCTCCGCGAAACCGAGGCCGACACATGACGGTAACTAGAGTTACGCTTGCACAGCGATTGTATCACAGGATAGAACCATGTACGGCGTGTGCGATAAAGATGTCACAAACTTTGTTGCAGGTACAGGATCAAGCGTCCTTAATCCCTTCCCACCTTTGGCAATAGCTTCGTTGCGTGCAGTATGCCAAAGGTGCTGAACGCCCCTGCTGACAATTGCGATGCGAATGGCCTGGCTTCCTAATGCACATCGGTTGCACAGCAGTTGAAGAGTGACCTCCCTAAGCCCATGAACACGGACCGTCCAAACACACAGAGTCACTCCTTCTAATGCTTGCTGGTCAGTGAGATGTGGTCATCGAAATCGGCAGAGAACCGCACCGTCGCACATGTAATCTGTGAAAGCAAGCTTGCCATCGGTGGAAGTGAAACAAAATCTTTTGCAGGCCTTCCCATGCCTGAAGTACATATATATATATATGTAACGACGACGATTGGAACAACGATGAATATTTCATCGAAAAGATCACGACCCACCAAACAGCAACGACGCCGGAAGAGACGACGATGTAAACATATGGTCGTATCTCGAAGAGCGTCGAATAGCCGGTTAGGCGACGGCTGAGTGCATCTCGAATGTTTAAATAACTTAACCAGGACCAGGGTTCATTTTGTTTATTTCGTTCGGGTTGACGGCCTGGATCCAAGAAACAAGCTTTGACAATGCTTGAAACCATCGCAACAGCAACGCCCTGCAATCCCGGCCCGTGGGCGACAGCGGCATGTACGGCATGTCATACAGGACTTGAAGGATCCCTCAACCCCCCAGCTAGCCCATCGGTTGAAAACGCTGATGACAGGTGCGCTATTTCGTCATGACAGACCACGCAGGGCTCAAGAACTACATCCGTGCCAACCACAGCAAGGATCACGTGTTGCTTAGTGATATGGCTCCCGTGCACATCAATGGAAAGGAGTACCGGAAGTATCACACGGCAGACGACAAGGACGATACAGAGCAGCGCCTAGCTGTAATGCAGACGTATGCGGAGTGGTACGCATATTCCCTGTCCAATCTGTTCATCCTTTCCCCAAAACCATCTGGTTTCAGCCGTTTGTCTATCATGCGTGCATTGGCTTCAAGGCATCCGCGCTTTCCCGAATACGGAGTGGTCCATGCCAAGGCTTGTTCCACCATGGGCCATAATTCTTGCAAGGCGCTTGGTCAAGAGGGAGCCAAAGTGCTGTGAAGGAACAAATTGACCGCTTGGTGCTTACCTCAGGCTGCGGAAGACATAAAGCACGTCAACATCACAAGCTTTTAACGCCTTTTCATCTGGCAAGTACCGGTGGTCCAGATGCAACAGTATCGCTGGAACTAGTGTTCGACGTGTGTCCCAAATTTACAGCAGTAGGTGTGTGGGTTAGTCAACGACAACAAACACGCAGCAACGACAGCCGTAGAAGCCGTGGCGGGGCAGTGGCAGTGGCAGA